CAGCCAGAGACCCGGCTGTTAAGTTACGAAGACAGGACCCCAGCAGGATCCACAGTCTGTCCCTGGTGCCAAACAGAGGGGTACATATAATCAAAGCCAGCCTCTGTCTGCACCAAGTACCTAGTGATACAAAAATATTCATGGGAAATAAGTTCTACCCCTCCCCCACCCCCATCCTCTTGTTCAAGGTTGGTTCAAGGACTTTATACCCAGCCAGTGTGAGCTGTGTCAAAGTAACCACATCAGAGTCATTCAGCCAGGTTTCAGCAGTGAGCCAGATAGACCTGTTCCTCAATCAACAGGTAAGTATTGTTAAAATATTACTTTTCACAGATCTGGCTTTGCACAACACCAAGATTGAAGCTCAGTCACCTGACAGGGCCTCAGCACCCACATTTATAAGGATGGCATGGATAGACTTGCATTATATCTCCCTGCATGTCTTCCAGAATCAACACTGCTCCCGTCGCCATATCTTCCCACCCCTTGCACCATTTCAGTCCAAGATGGAACAAAACACAGTCTGGAAGACAGCCAAATGCAAGTTCCTTACCTCTGACATCCAGAACCAACACTTGCAATTGGGTTCTGCCAACTACTGAAGCACCTTCTGGAAGGACACCCTTTTAATGTTCCTCTCCAGCACCACCAGAGGGAGCCACCCTCAACAGGAGGTCTCCATGATGAAGGCCAGCTGAGCTGGAAGGCTCTGATAGCTAGCGGAGCTGTGTCAGCATGCAGGCTCCTCCAGGTGCAGTCAATGTCACAAATTTGGCACCTCAGGATCCTTCCATCACTCACAGTCTCTTCAGCTTGGCCTCTCCTGACTGATTAAGTGTAGCTGGTAGCAACAGGAGGGTAGGAGGACTAGATGGACATTGTCTTCTTTCTTCCCAACCTGCCAGCAGCAGACACTCAGCTGACATTAAACATTTATTTAAAATTGTGTATATTTTCTGCTGCCCCCCAAAAGATGCTAAAGAAGTATATACCAGAGCTCTTTTTAAAAATCACCATAACTACATGTAGCTGCTCCTGGGTAACTCCTGGGTAGCAAATTACTAGGTGATTGCTGCTAGGCCTGGCCCTAATGCAGGGGTGTCAAACTCATTAGTGATATCTTAATATGGAATCTAGAAAAATATTAGAAGGATGTTGTTCAAAGGAGAACTCAAAGTCCTTTGTCCTTCTCTACCTCCTGCTTCGACATCTGTCCCCACTGCCATTCCCCTCTCACCCTCAGCCATCCTTTGCCCTCAACCACCACTCAGAAAGAAGAGCGGAAAAATTGATTGGGAAGAAGAGACCTTCTTTCCCTCCCCCATGCATCCCCACTCCAATTTAAGTAATCCATGCACAGAAGCAAGCTTACATGTGTGTATGTCTTATTGAACCAAGAACCACAAGAACAAATGGAAGTCTAGCCAATGCACTTTTGAATGCAGGTGCTATCTATTCCACACAGTTGCAACTATAGTTTTTCAGTGTGCAGCTGCTACATGGGCGTTGCTGCACATCCAAACGCACATCCCATTGAAAGCTGCACAGGCGTCTACATTTGGATGTGCTTCTTTTCCAGCAAGAGATACATGCACAAAAGTCTACTTCTTTGCACAGATTTTTGGGACTTGGATTAGGGCTCCTATCTTGAGGGAACTTCCTGCCAACCTAGCAGTTCAAAAGCAAGAAATTGCAAGTAGATAAATAGGTACCACTTCAGTGGGAAGGTAACAGCGTTCTGTGCGCCTTGGTGTTTAGTCATGTTGGCCACATGACCATGGAAACGTCTTCGGACAGCGCTGGCTCTTCGGCTTTGAAACGGAGATGAGCACCGCAACCCTAGAGTCGGATTTAACTGGCTTTCAAGCAAGGGAACCTTTACCTTTACGGAACTGCAGCTCCTCTGCTCAAACTGGGAAGCACCCTGCTCAGATAGAGTTCTTGCCAGGCCTGGCTTCACAGAACTGGCATCATTCATATCCACTGTAGTACTAAGGTCAAGATGTGGAGTGGTGGAGCTGACATCAAAGACAGCCACAGCGGCTGGTGCCACACTTCTGCTTTAATTGGAAAGTGCCCAGTCCAAGCAGAGGCGGGGGGAGTCTTAGCCAATGGGCAATGGGCAACAGGGGCAACCTACCACGGACTCACCACACCCCTGGAAAAAAGAAGAGCAGGCTCCTGCCACTTCCCATGCCCGCCCTATCTGATGGCTGGGCTGCAGGTTTGCAGTGGCAGCTGTGGTGGCTCCTGCCCACCCTGAAGGGGTAAGGGCCACCCATTGCTTGGCCCTGGTAGAGGGGCCAGTTGTAGGATGGCAGTGATTCTGGGACCTCCTTCAGGGTTTTTGCCCAAGGCTCCAGTATTACTAAGGCTGCCCCTGCTCAGAGTTGGCTCTGCTGTGCCAAATCTGGGCAATGTACTCTCTACTGTCTCTCTACTGGAGCCAGGCATTTCCTGTGTCAGGCACAGAGGCTCCCAGCAGTGCGAATCTTCTCCCATTGGCTCACTTGAACTTTAAGTGGGAAGCCGGTTTCCACCTACCAGAAGCTGATTGGATAAGGTCTCCTCCATCAACCCTGAGCAGGCAGGGTAAAAATGATGTTTCCTCTCAACCGGTTGTCAGAAGAACCTGTCCTATTCATGGCATGCAGAACAAGCTGCAAACATGCCTAGAGTTTCAAATGTACAAGTCTCTCTCTGTGTGTAAAATGTCATCCAGTTGCAACCAACTTATGTTGACCCTCAAGGCAAGAGACTAATAGAGTTGGTTTGCCATTGCCTGCCTCTGCATAGCAATCATGGAGTTTCTTGTTAAGTCTCCCATCTAAACACTAACCAGGCCCCACTTTGCTTGCTTCTGAGATCTGGCATACTGATAACATACCATCATTCTTTGGTTTTGACTTCTCAAGCTGTTTGTCTGGAACCTCTTCCCCCTTCTCTCTATATACTAGCTTGCTTAATTGTAAATAAGGCTCTGACTAATGAACCTGCATGTCAGAACACTTCCCTTGCTCTGGCTCATTCTCATGTTACTGGGTTTCAGGGTGTGGAAGACCCTCGGTGCAGACTGGGAGGATTCGTTGTCTAACTCCACAGTATCTCCTTGAATATAGTCTACTATGCCTATGTATTGTGAGCTCTCAGGGGTTTGATAACTCCCTTCCGTTTGCAATTCCTGGCAGACAAGAAAAAAACAGGAGGTTTATAAAGTGCCTGATGAGTCGTCATCCATGACTTGGCAGATCACAAGCAGTATAGCATTTGAATACCTCAGAGACCTGTGCGAGTGATGAATCATTTCTCTGAAAGATAAAACATTCTGAAATCAGCTCTGGGAGTAAGGCTGCCAAACTGGCAATATGAGAAAGAAAAGCTACACAGCTTTCTTATTGCTGCCCTCCTAGCAAAGCACCTCTTTTGTAAGTTATTTTTATTCCTTGACAGGGGGATTGGGTATACGAGGAAAGGAGAGGACAGCCATAGAAAAAGCATGTGAGACATTCATGCACAAAATATTCACGATACAATTTAGAACAATTTTGGGCTGGTGCTGAAGGGTGCTGCTCAAAATGTACAACCAAATTGTGATTCAAGAAGAACATTTGCTTATTAAGCTTATATAAATTAGGTGGTTAACACAGAACAGAATATGGAGTCACCATCAAATAGAGACATTATGTATATAGACCAGGGGTCCCCAAACTTTTTAAGCCTGTGGGCACCACTGGAATTCTGACACTGGATGGTGGGCACAACCACAAAATGGCTGCCACAAGAGGTGGAGCCAGCCACAAAACATAACTTTTCAACATTTCAGAGAGAAGCTCTGTTTAATGTCATGGGCATGGATGAGGATGAGCTGACAGCGCCCGCAGAAACCACAGCTGGCTGCTCTGAAGCAGCAGAGGAGGATAGCTGGCAAGTTCCTGTAACAGCAGTCTTCACACCTGGCCCAGATAAGAAGAACTGCAAGCTGAAAGTCCTCCTGACTCACCCCCACGTGTGACTCATTTAAGGGAGCGACTGCGACAAAACTTAGCAAGCAGACGATGAGAGGCCAGGCTACAAGGGAGACGCTCAGCCAGCCCAGAGTTCTAACAGGAGCCTGGCTGATTGTGCAGCTGGCTAATTGGTAGCAGCATTTAACTCCACACTCTGGGCCGTACCCTTCGTGGAAGCAACAAGTCAGCTTCGTGCTGTTAGCATCCACTCCGGCTCGGGTCTTGCACCTAGACCTTCGGACCCCCTGGCTTTGGACTTGGCTCTGTGTTCCTGCCTCCTGATCCCGGCTTGGCTTTTTGGACTTTGCACTGTCTTCTTGGCTCCTGACCTTGGCTTGTTCTGGACTCCCTTTGAAGAAGAGAATGTCCCAGCCCGTGACATTTAACAGGATGCCTTTTAAAATGAACATATTCTTTAAAAATATTTTCTGACATACATACAGCTTATCTTCAGTAATACAGTGAAGATCTTTGTGCTGGACTGGCAGCTAGTGCAAAAGCAACATTTAAAAAATCTGCACAGCCAATCAGAAGCCGGACGGGGCAAAAGCCCCACCCGCTTTCTGAAAATACTTGGTGGGCATCAGGAAAGGTACCTGTGGGCATCATGGCACCCACAGGCACTTGCTGGGGAACTCCGATATAGACTGAAGAAGCTTTAGGTAAAGAGCCATCAGTTTTGATTTTGTATGAAACTGAATAATACAAGGAAATAGTAGTAAGCAATATGTAACTTTATTAAAGCAAATACTCTTAATTTTGTAGTAATATAAATTTTTGACCAACATTCCAAAAATTCTTCTGGTTAAGAAATATAAAGTTTTCCTTTGCAAAAATAAAGTGCTTGCATAGATTTGAGAGGGCACGCTTTCTAGATGTTAGAAATGTGCCTACGATACACAGCTGACCTTCGGTCTTCACTGATATTAGGAATGCTTTGGTTATCTTCTATATAACAGACATCAGTAGTAATAGAGAACAGAAGCAGCGAGATCAGAAACATTTAACTATTCCATCTATGCAGAATCTGAAATAAAGCAAAGGAGCATGAGACGAGGCAACTGTAAGCCCCCTTTTGAAAAAGTAGCAACAATAAGAACTCTAGATTTATAGAATGTATATAACAAAGCTATCTCCTCTGCAGATCCCACCATTGGTTCAAGTACAGAAATTCTCAAAGACATTCGCCCCCTCAACCCAGTTTCGGAAGCAGTTGAGCCCTCTCTCCCGAATATGTTTTCTGCCTTTATCTGTAATGACTTCTCCAGTTTGTTTAACAATCACAAGTTTGGGAATGGCCGTGATGTTGTATTTCTTCTTCAACTCACTACAAAGAAGAAAAGAGGGAAAGTTAAACTGATAGGTGCATAAACAATGGGGAAAAAAATCTTATTTTTAAAATTTTTTTGTTACATTTAAATCGCTGTGTGCGGTTTCTGTACAGATAATTTTTAAAAACTTTTCTTAGATTATAAGCAAACATGTTAAACCCTGCTTAATACATGACCCTCCATCAAACACATGGGATTAAAAGCTGTTGATCTAAATCAAAGGTGAACCTGGGGGGAAGGGACCATGTCCTGCTAGAATTCTTTTTGCTGTGGGGGACCAAGGAAGTTCGTAACCACACATGTATGTTAGATTTCAGTAAAGCAGACTTTAATAAACTCAGAGGTATGATGAGAATCATTCCATGGGCAAGACTGCTGGAAGGGCAAGGAGCAAGTGATGGGTGGGCTCTCCTAAAACAAGAGCTCTTGCAAGCTCAAGCCATCACTATTCCAACAAGAAGGAAACACGGTAGGGGATCCAAGAAGCCAATGTGGATGAACAGAGAACTGCGTGATGTGCTAAGGGGAAAAAAGGAAATGTTCAAGAAATGGAGGCAAGGACATACCTCTAATAAAGAGTATCTGTGGGTTGCTAGGCACTGTAGATCAGCCATCAGAGAGGCCAAAGGTCACAGTGAGCTAAAGGTGACCAGGGAGGCTTGCTGCAACAAGAAAATCTTCTTCTGATATGTGAGGAACAAATGCAAGGTAAAAGAGGCAATGGGCCCACTGTTGGGTGAAAATGGAGAAACTCTGACAGAGGACAGAGAGAAAGCAGAAAGGCGCAATGCTTATTTTGCATCAGTTTTTTCCCTGAAGAAGAGAACAGGCTCATCTAGAGATGGCAGTAGGCAAGGCATGGTGTCCAGGCTGCTGGTTGACATGGACAGAGAGGTAGTTGAGAAGCACCTGGGGGCAGTGAATGAGTATAAATCTCCCAGGTCAGATGGTATGCACCCAAGAGTGCTCAAAGAACGTTCTAGAGAGCTTGCAGAGCCTTTGTCCATCATCTTCCACACCTGTTCGAGGACGGGAGATGTGCCACACGACTGGAGGAGAGCAGATGTTATCGCAATTTTCAAAAAAGGGAATAAGTATAACCCAGGAAACTACAGGCCAGTCAGTCTGACCTCTGTCCCAGGGAAGATACTGGAGCAGATTTTAAAGAGATTGAACTGCAAGCATCTAAAGGTGAATTTTGTGATATGGGGGAGTCAGCACATATTTGTCCCCAACAGGTCCTGCCAGACCAACCTCATTTCCTTCTTTGATCGAGAGACGAGCTTACTTGATCAAGGGAATGCTGTTGATGTTGTTTACCTGGATTTCAGTAAAGCTTTTGACAGGGTTCCCCATGATGTTCTAATGGGTAAACTAAAGGACTGTTGACTGGACTCTAGGATAGTTAGGTGGTTAGGGATCTGGTTGGAGAACTGCACTCAGAGAGTAGTTGTCAATGACATTTAATCTGAATGGAGGGAGGTGTCCAATGGGGTGCCACAGGGCTCGGTTCAGAGCCCAGTACTTTTCAATATTTTTATCAATTATCCGGCTGAGGGTGTGTAGGGGCTACTCATGAAATTTGCAGATGACATCAAATTGGGAGGAGCAGCGAACACACTGGAAGATATAGAATTCAATGAGATCTGAACACACTGGAAAAGTGGGTGGATGTGAACAAGACACAATTTAACAAGTGTAAGTGCTGAGTTCTACATCTGGGTAACAAAAATGAGGAACAAGCACACTGGATGGGGGATACACTTCTGAGGAGCAGTGTGTGTGAACAAGATCTTGGGGCATAGGTGGACTGTAAGTTAAATATGAGCAGCCAGTGTGATGCATTGCTACTGAATGACCAAATGTTTTTCACTGTTGCAGCTTGCCAACCGTCCACCAGTTTTGTTGTCATTTTCACATACACCTCACTTCAAACTATTTTACTTTAATTGAAAATAATTAACGTCAGGACTGATTTCTGGCTGAATCCATATGCCTAGCACAGAAATTCCCAGATGAACACAACTGTACCCAATTCTGTCCCAGTTAAAACATTTATCAGACTGGTGTCCTTCTTTGTGTGGTAGAAGGGCAAACCCACCAGCATGCCCTTCCTTCTGCACCTAAATTCATGTACAATGTCTGGTCACATGGAAGTCCTATTTGATGTGGACCAGAGATCTGTTTACAGGTTTCCATGTATTTATTATTTCTATTTATTTGCATTTTTACCCCGTCCTCCCCAGCTACTGGCCTCACACAGGACAATGTCCATGTGATATGAAGGAGAGATGTTCATTCAAGTCTTCTACCATGGAAAATGCAGTGCTGTCAAGTGTATCATCTGGGCTCTGTAGATGAACATCAAGCTGACAGGTTGTAGATGTTAATAAAGAAATAGACGGGGTGAGAGAGCTACGCTCAGAAGTGGTACACCTAAGCAGAGCCTATATGGGTAATTAGTGCCCTAGGTCAAACCCAGCTTGAAACAGGGTCTAAATGAAGGATTGTGATTTATGCTGGCAAACTGCTATACACGCACACATATAACCCCATTGATTTCAATTTCTGACTATGCAGGTAACAACATGGGAATGGGATATAATTTGCTACTCACTGTTCCTAATCAATTTCTCTTACTTTGCTTGCTTCATCTCCTCTTGTTTGTCCCTTTCCCCTCCTGCTGAGATCAAAAGTGGATTTGGAAAGTACCAACCAGAAAATGAAGCTGATTGAAAAGCAGGTTACTGGGCATTATATAACCTGGTTGTTGCTAGCCCCACCCATATGGAGTAGGAAAGGTGCAAGCTTACCATGGGAAGATTTTAAGAAAGGAACTGAGGGGTTTGATTTGATTTATTTAATTTGTATCCTGCCCTCCCGGCCGAGGCCGGCTCAGGGCAGCTTATAGAACATGGTAAAAATTCCAATACATATAAAAACACAGCAACAGTTAATATAAATACAATATTAAAACCAAACAGATAATAAAGTGCTAGCATAGTTCTTCACTTTTAACGTCAGCTCCATTGGTCTGCTTCAGTTGTTTTACCTCAGTTGCTTTGGGGGGTTTGGCTTGGGCAATAATGAAAGGGACCAGCGTATCAAGGCTCTTCCACCACAGGGTGTTAATTGTTGGTGATGGTAGTGGTGATTATAGTGGTAGTGGTTGCGGCCCCAAAGGTCTGGTGGAAGAGCTCTTACAGGCCATGCAGAACTGTAGAAGGTCCCACAGGGCCCTGATCTCCTCCAGGAGCTCATTCCAGCAGAGTGGGTCCGCCACTGAGAAAGCCCTGGCCCCAGTTGTCATCAGCCTGGCCTCCTTAATGATCGGGAGGACCAGCCGATTCTGGGTCCCTGATTGCAGCACTTTCTGGGGTACGTATAGGGAAAGGCGGTCCCTCAGGTATGTAGTTTGAACAACTTGGTATAAAATGGAATCATGTTTCCTGAATACAGAGGTCATCTGTGGTACAAAAAAATGCCAGGCGAGCATCTCTAGTGAAGGTATGATACTAGCAGGGTGCTAGAAAACAAACAAACAGGCATGAAGCAGGTACATGTGGGAGCAGGTGAGCCTTTAGGTACCCTAATTGCCAGTCAAAGGTTTTACAGACCAGGTTCCGGTTTTGGCGTTCGCCATGGCGGTCGCTTCTCCTGATCCTCCGGGAGAAAACTGCCAGAGCCTGTGGTGTGGAGGGGGTGCGATTGTCCGTGCCACCCCCGGAGCCTCTGAAGGAAGCTCCCAGCCATGGGGCGCTAGGAGGCTCTTCCTCCAGTGAGTCTGCCGGTGAAGGGGGGCCTCCCCATGCCCCGAAGGTCCCGCCGCGGAGCGTCCCAAATGGGAATTAGAAGCGCACACCGGAGCAAGCGTTTGGTGGCCAAGGGAATGGAAAAGGAAAACGGATTTATCGTTGGAATGTGAGTTGGAGTTTAAGAAAGAACCACCGAAAATTTAAGCAGAAACCTACCCTTAGAAAGTGAGGGGGGAGGGGAATCTACCCTGATAAGAAAAACTAAGCGAACTTTGCGTGCATACGAAAAGGGGGGTGGACTACTGAAGCAAGATAGACTGAAATAAAAAGCATTTAAGAACTTACCAAGCTGTTTAAGGAGTATCAGAGACTGTGATAACTTTTCTAAAAAGTAAACAACCTCAAACATGGTGCCCACGAGGAAGGATGAGAAAGACAAACAAGTAAAACCAAAGCTTCTTGCCAGAACTGCTGGTCCAGTGAGTCCTGCCCCTAGACAGGACACAACTATGGAGCTACAAAAGATGCTGACAGAAGCATTGTGACCCCTGCTGGCACAAGTGACGGCACTGCATAGCAAATTTGACACACAGCCATTGCAACTGACTGAAATAGCCAAAAAAACAGATAAAACTGAACAAATAGTAAAAGAAGTGGATAGCAACACTAAAAAGCTTTAAAAACAACTGCAGGTGATGGAAAAAAAGAGACTGATGGAGGAGTCTCAACTGTTACAGCTACAAATGGAGAGAGCAAGCTATGTCTTAAGATTTCAAGGTGTTCCTGAAGAAAAATCTGAGAATCTGAAACAGACTATGTGTGAAGTATTGGGACTTATGGCAGATTTTAAAACAGACATACTACAAAGTGAAATAGATATGATCTATAGATCCTATCCAAAATTTATAAGAAAAAATAACCTGCCTGGGGAAGTGATTATAGATTTTCAAGAAGACAAGTGAGAGATAAATACTTAAAGTGACAAATGGATCTACCTTGAAGATCAAAGACAAAGAAATAAAAGGGTTAAAGACATCCCGTTTGAAATAAGAAGGAAGAGGAGGAAATATAGAGACTTGGTGACATTTTTACAAAAGAAAAACAAACCCTACAGATGGTTAGTTCCCGAAGGTACAATCTTCAGATTCATGGATAAGAAAAAATTGACTCTGTTGAAAAGGCATGTGAATTTTTGCGTCTACATAGTCATCCTTTAGGAGAGGCAGAAGCGGAGAAAGAGGACAGCATTAAAGATAGCGAAGAAGAAGGAGCAGTGGCATCTTCAGATGAGGACTCAGACTCTAAATTAGGGACAGTTGCCCCGAAGACAAGCTACCATTTGAGAAAGCAAAAGCATAAAAAATGAGATGTTATTACACTCTGAAAGCTCATATAATGTATTATTATAAATAAGTCTTATATTGCTTTTTTAGAAGTTAGAAGTAGAGGTGTTTAAAGTTATATTATCAGCATAAATTGATTGTTAGATGACCACATTCAATGAACTTGAATGGAATTATGAGCTAAAAGCTAAATTTGTTAAGCAGTATGTATGACCACCATCTCTTGGGTTTTTAGTGGGTTTTCTTTACTTTCTCCCATAGTATGTAGTTCCCTAATTTCGTTGTAGCTTTTAATAGTTTGTAGTTTATAGAAAATCCAAATTAAAAAAAAATCCCCTACGGGGGGGGGACAAAAAAAGAAGAAGGTTTTATAGACCAGAACCTGAAGGTGTGGGTGTTTTAAAAACTTAGAGAGTGCCAGTGAGCAGCGCCTTATGTTCCTTTTTTGAAAATCTACTGTGGTTGTACTTGTAATGTTATGATGTTTTCCATTTTCCACGACATTCCATTTTTATCCCACTGTTCCTTCTAGGAGCTCAGGTTGATGTACTTGCACTTTCCCCTTCTCTCTTGTGAGAGAGAATGTCTGGCCCAGCAAGTTTTGGGGCAAGCAGGGACCAAAACCTGGGTCTCCCTGGTCCTAGGCCAACACTGACCACTACAACACAGGCTCTCAATGAGGAGCAATGAAAACTGTACTCCTTATTGCAAAGCCTATTTGCACTGTGGCAGCTGCCAGCACTGTCCCTATTGACCTTCCCTGTCTCTTCCCACATTCTAAAGCCTCCCCCAATTCTCCTGCATCTCTGTCTTTGCCATGCTGCCTCTTGTTAGCACTTCCAGAGTGAGCACACTGGCTTCACCTGTTACTCATCACCCGGGTTCCATCATGCACAAAACAGCCAAGATTCAAGAGCTTTCTCCACACTGCTTTGAGCACATTTAGTACAGCTGTGAAGGAGCCCACAGAGATTCCAATGTGCTGGCAGTAGACAGTGCCACAGCATCAGGGTCTTCTCCACTGCAAGAAGGCCAGGCTGACTGGCAAAGAGGCCAGCATGTGATGAAAACATGGAGGGTGTGTGTAGGGAACATGGGTCCAAGTCAACCAGGGGAGAGGGAGTGCTGTGCTTAGACGAGGCCCTACTTACTCACGGGGTGTATGTGTGTATGGGGACAAGAAACAGGTGAAATGAACTCAGGGACATGGTTTAAAGATGACTATGAATGAAGGAGAAATTATGCTCACACAGGAAACAGGGATTAAGGTCAAAAGATTTGACTGTGGAAGTATAGCTGACCTCAGCAATGAAAAAAAACGATATGATAAAATAGTGGCAGAAGAGGTGGAATAACAAGGAGGGGGATTGCCACGGAGGGAAACAGGAAGGCAGCTGTGACCAGAGTGCTCCCCTGGGTGTCCTATCTTTCCTACCAATTACTTTTGTCACTGACAAATTGGCTACCATTCCTGTTAGTCGAGTGCTGCTACCATCTTCCTACCCAATTCCTCGCTATTTTGCTTAATCCCTGTATCTTCCTTGGTCATTCTACCAGGTCTGCTCGCCACACCTGGTGCCCTCATCATTCCAGACCCCCTTAATCCCAGATGCAGACCTACCTGTATTTTTGTGCCCGTTTAATGGGGACTGCAACTAACATCAAGATTGCTTACTGAGAGGTGTCACTGAGGCATCTGTTCCTCCAGAGGGCATTTCATATCAATTTCATCCTGAGACCAAATGCTTACAAAACACTAAAATAGCACTGACACCAGCATTAGTGTTGCCCCCCCCCCCACTGGCAGAGGGAAACAGGAGGGGGAGGTCAGTGCCTACACAGGAGTCTCCTGGGAACCTCAGGTAAACTGCTTTAATGGAACAAAGGCAGACTATTAGTGGAACAAAGAAGACTGAAGCCACAAGACAACTGCAAAGTAAAAGTTCCTGGAGTCCAATACATTAAACTTGCACTTTATTAGGCTAAATGCACTCACCAGTTTCTATTCAAGATTGTATAACTTCCTATCTTTTTTGCTTACATAGTGCACAAGTTAAAACAGGTGCTCTAACTAGCAATTTCCTGGTTCTTTTTAGCAGAATAAGTGTATTTATATTTTCTTTTCTTAAATCTGAGGTTGCTGCTTTTTTAAATATGAGCATCTGGATGTTCATACTACTAATGCAAGTCTTACAGTTACATTAAAGGACATAAAGAGTGCAACAAGCAGTAAAACCAACAGACTCCCTGTCTTGGTACCTATTCAGGACACAAATGTTACGAAATGGAGCAAGCATGGCAGAGTGTTGAGAGTGTCAGACGCAGGTCTGAATCTCCCACTCTGCCATGGAAGCTCGCTTGGGTGATCATGGGCCAGCCCACACTCTCTCAGCCTACCCCACTGCACAGCATTGTTGTGAGGATAAAATGGAGGAGTGGAGAACAGTGTAAGCCACTTTGGGGAGGGGTATAGATGATATAAATAAACATTTATCATGTGAAAGATTTTACTGCAGCCAAAGAGAATGAGTGAATCACCCAGGGTTTTGTCATTACAGAACAATGTTCTGCCAGTCAGTCGCCAGAGGTTGCTGTGACTTCCATGTGTGTGCGTGCACACACGCACACATGCATGCAGAGATGAAAAATACAGGAAAAAACTACCAAAAACCAACCAACGTTCTGCAGCCAATGGAGAGAACAGGATGCTTTTATTTCCGTTGCTCACTTCTCTCAAGATGATCAATGAGACCAGCAAAGCATGTTGGCCTTTGAGTTTATCTGCAATAACCTCAAGATGGTCTCTGGCACGGTATACACAACTAGGGACAATTATCTCCAGTCAAAATTTATGCAAGGTCAAGATCAGGCATCAAGAATGCAAGTCTGCTGCTCTCGCCACCAGCAAAGTGACTTCTCTAGGCACAGTCATGAGTGCAGTTCGGTCTTCAGGCAAACTTGAAAGAATGCAACTGCCTACCTGATGCAGAACTGAGGAGATGCTGAAGTGCCAGCCCCTTTCCTGCACTTCTGTTGCTATTTAAAACAGATGTGTGACTGGAGCAATATATTTTGGACACCTAAGGCTGAATCCAAAGGTTATCCTGCTGTGAGCCACATCTGCCTGTGTGTGTGTGGGGGGGGGTAATTTTTGCCAGTTCCCATCCTCCTCTGTGACATTTTTAAAAGACCTCTTTAAAATCATGCTAGTCAGAGACAGCAGATCCTCACAGCAATAGGGGCAAAATGGGGGCTTAGAGTGGGAGGGAAATCTCAGGATTTTGCTCTATAGTTTAGCATTCCTGTGACTTCAAAAAGAGTGCCCAGCACTGCCCTTGTCCCATCCATTCTTACAGCATTCACTCCAGCAGTAGACTTTTACATTTGTGTGGGGGCATGAAGGGAAGGAAGCAAACTTTTGGCACATGTTTATGCATCCGTCTTCTACACTAGCCTTCTTCTACACTGGATAATGTTTTATGTTTTAAAAGAAACAACAAACAGGTGATTCCTTCTGCAGACACTTATTTCCCTTTGCAAGCAATTTACTCTTATTTAAATTTTTCTAGGCTGCCTTTCCCCACTAATGCCTTTCCATGCTAACAAGGCCACCTCACTCTGAATTTGTGAGGCTGGGTTATTGCATCACTACACTGGATTATTAGGCTAAAAATAGGCTAAACTCTGAATAACTGGGATGCAAGTTCCATTAAAATAGACAGGATGCTTCTTAGTGGCAGCATGGCAGTACAGAGGATAGTGCGGGACTTGAACCAGACACAGGACTCTCTGCTTAAGGTGATAGCCATATGAGCAGTACTAGATAGACACAGGACTCGATTCTTTTCCTTACTAAGACATGAATGCACAGAGCCTGGAACCTGTGCCTTTCTCAGCTAATCTGCTTCACAGGGCTGCTGGGAAGACAGTGAAGCAACTCTCACAGGTGCTGCTTGGAGGAAGGATGGGACACAGGGGTGGTAGATAAGCAATCAGACATTCCAGGATGAAAGGTTAGTGTAAAATAGATGCTGGAAGATTTTGAAGACTGAGTTTACAAATACCAATTCATCATTTGATGGTCAAGGGACTCTTCATGTATCACATATCCATCACACATGTGGGGAACTAATTTTTTCCTCTCTGACCAAGGGTCTGCTTAGACAGCACAGTGAATGGCAGCTCTTGGGGTCCTGCCATTGTGAGGGAGGGGGCGCCTTCCCAGCCCCTCCCCCACTGAAATCCTTTTGACTGGCCTTGCCAGGAGTTCAGCTGAACCTGGGCCCTTCCACTGGCAAAGCACATTCTCGGCCACTGAGCTATCGCCTATCTGCCCCTTTCCAGATTTTGTTTGTCACTCCACAAGGATTTCACCTGAAATACCCTTCTTCTCCCACAAAGTCTTCCGGTGGTAAAATCATCCCATGATGGAAGTATCAGTGTAGGTCCATATATATGTGAACCGACCCCACAGGCGAGCCAGCTTGCGTCCCCCCTGCATCGAATACACCCCTTTTGGGATGTGCTACAGCCCTGGCATTTCTTCCTCCGGAGAAACTGCGATCTAGCCGCAAACGGAGGGCGTCCCCCCCCTTCCCGACACTGCGCAGGCCTGGCCCCCACCGGCACGTGGCGAAGCGGCGCCCGCGGGCATACTCACTGCTTAAAAGGATCGTGGAAAGGCAGCGCCAGCCAGTCCCCGTGCGTCTCTTGCATGTAATCCACCATCTCTTCGGAGCTGCGGTCGGAGGAGATGAAGACGATCTCGAACGGGGCCGGCGAGGGCGCTTCCTCCACCAGCTCGCTGTAGAAGTCGCACAGGGTGGGGGTGAATTCGCGACACAGGGAGCACCACGCCGCCGAGAAGTACAAGCCCACGATCTTGTTCTGCAGGGCTTCCTCGGGGTCCACCAGGTGCCCGTCCTTGTTCATGAGGAGCCTCCCGCTGAACACATCCACCATCCTTGCGGGGGGAGGGGGAGGACACACCGCTTCAGGAGGCGAGCGGGGGGGGGTTGCGGGGGTGTTTACACACCCGATGGTCTGAATCCGGAAGAACGGAGCTACCTAGACGAGGGAATGTTGTTCACGTCGAGACTGACCCAGCCTCTCCGGCGCAAGTGTTTCTCCTGGAGGAGAGAGAGCGTCTGAGGTGGCCCGGCCCAGACCTCTCTTTAATCTCCCGGGCTGCTCAGTGAGTGAGCTTTATTTTCTCCACTCTCCCGCTTCAGCGCCTTGGGATGCTGGAGGGAGAGAAAAAGAGATCAGCAACAAGTGCTCCAAGCGGATACCAGCCCCAAAAACTTGGCGCGCCTCTGAGTGAAGGCAGCAGGCATGCGCGTGCGTGCCGGTGTGGGGAGGGGGGTTATTCAACCCGCTGAGCGGGAGGCAAGTGCCTCGGGGCTGGTGGGGCCTTTGTTTGCGACGGCTATAAATGGAAGGCGCGCCTCTAAAAATAGAGCCCGAAAGCCAGACCGGAGAAGCGCTGGCCAAGGCTCCGCCTCTAGATCAATATCCCTGGCGAGGCTTCCACAGCCGGGCGGACACATCTTCTCTCCCCCCCCCCGCCCCCCCGGCTTCCTAGCTGGCCCGACTCAAGGCAGAGTTTTGTATGAACTCTTTTAAACCCTATTGTTCTCGGTAAGAGACTGAGAGTCTCAAAGCACGTTTACATTGAGTTTTTTGAAATGCTTAACTTTGGGATTGTAACTACAGAGACTGAATGTGCAATTATGAATTGCGATGAGTGCTTTATAACAAGCTACAGGATTCGGTGAGAGCCTAGCCTATTTATTTCCGAGGGGAACGAGAGCCAAAACCGACATGATGAACACATTAAACTGCTTTGTTGTTGTTCAGTCGCACAGTCGAGTCCGACTCTTCGCGACCCCATGGACCAGACCCCGCCAGGCCTTCCTGTCTTCCGCCGTCCTCTGAAGTTTGCTCAATTTCATGTTCGTTGCATCTATGACACTGTCTTTGGTCTTCTTCTTTTACCTTCAGTCTTTCCCAGCATCAGGGTCTTCTCCAGTGAGTGCTCCCTTCTCATTTGGTGGCCAAAGTATTTGAGCTTCAGTTTCATTATCTGGCTTTCCAGGGAACAGTCAGGGTTGATTTCTTTGAGGATTGACTGATTTGATTTTCTTGCAGTCCAAGGGACTCTCAAGAGTCTTCTCCAGCACCATAGTTCAAAAGAATCTATTCTTCGGCGCTCGGCCTTCCTTATAGTCCATATAGTCCAACTCTTGCAGCCATACATGACTACTGGGAATACCATTGCTTTGACCATGTGGACTTTTGTTGGCAGGGTGATGTCTCTACTTTTTATCATGCTGTTTAGGTTCGCCATCGCTTTCCTCCCAAGGAGTAGGCGTCTTTTAATTTCATGGCTGCTGTCACAGTCTGCGGTGATCTGGGATCCCAGGAACCTGAAGTCTGTCACTACTTCCACGACTTCCCCTTCTATTTGCCAAGGAGTGATGGGGCCGGATGCCATGATCTTAGTTTTTTTGATGTTGAGCTTCAAGCCCACTTTTGTGCTCTCCTCTTTTACTCTGAGCAAGAGGCTCTTTAGGTCCTCTTCACTTTCTGCCATTAGAGTGGTATTGTCTGCATACTTTATACTGAATCAAACCCTCGGTCCATCAAAGTCAGTATTGTCTACTCAGACTGGCAGCAGCTTTCCAAGGTTTCAGGCAGGGGTCTTTCACATACTGCCGGATCTTTTTACTGAAGATACTGGGGATTGGACCTGGGACCTTCTGCATGCCAAACAGATGTTCTGCCACCAAGCCACAGTGATATTGCCAGGAGTACCTTTTACCACCTTTGACTAGTCAGCCTGTAGTAGCCTTTCCTGGGCAGAAAAGATCTGGCCACTGTGGTGCTTGCCAGTTACATCTGGATTAGATTACTTCAATGTGCTCTACATGGGACTGCTGTGGAAGTGTTTGGAAACTTCAATTGGTGTCGCATGCTGTGGCCTGGATATTGACTGGAGTAGGTTGTATGGACCATATCACTCCAGTCTTGGCCTATTTACACTGGCTCCCACTTTGTTTTCAGGCACCTTTCAAGGTGCTGATGCTGACCTTCAAAATCCTATATGGTTTGAAACTAGTATACCGGAAAAACCACCTATTTATTTATTTATTCTTGAGATTTATATCCCGCCCCATCCAGTAATTCAGCTCGGGGCGGCTTACAAAGGTTAAAATATAAATACAACAGCAGCATAATAAACAATATATCTGATATAAAATTTGGTGCTAAAATTATTTACATAAAATCCAAGATGGACGACGTCCCACCTACTATCCAATCATTATAGTCCTATTCCAGGTTAGGTGCCCCTGCCTTCTGAGATTAGGCAAGTGGCAACCCAGAAGAGATCCTTCATGTTTGTGGCACCTAAACTCTGCAACTGTCTCCCCAAGGAGACTTATCTTCTCTGTTGCCATTTCCCACCAACAGGTGAAGACTTTCTTGTTACATTTGGTGTGTGCCCTTGGTGAATCCCCCTCTTCCTCACCAGATGTTTTAAAATTGTTGGTTTTATGTCTTTGATCATATTTTACCTCTGTTTTAAATTGTTTTAATGATGCTTTTAATTGTGATTTTATTATGCATGTTTTAATTTGTTAGATGCTTTGTTGGCCTTTGTGAAGGCAGAAAGGCAGGATATAAATTTTGTAAGTAAATAAATAAGGCTCACATTTCACTCAGATTAAGGCAGTTTTATGTGTAAGTAAATCCCTAATTAACAATCCATTTTAACTCAAACTTTAAGACAGCGTTCAAAGCTGGTTTCAAAATTCAAAAAACGTTATCCATGGAGGCACCATGTTAATGTTAAACCTAGATATATCTGCATTTAAGGAGGGATAAGCCTGGGGTGGGGGAGAGAGTGTATGATCTAGTCACCCATTCTTAATCCCATTTGTTTTTGTAAATGGCCTTGAACTAGGAAAAGTGTGGCATATCAGTTCAGTGAACAAATTAAATGGCTTGATACTTCTAGGAGCACTGAGAAACTTCAGGGTTGCTTTTGCCTGTGCTCATATTAAACCATGAAGATAACTTATGTAGAAGTTCACTTTAATTTGGATTCTAAAGAAAACCTTTTACCTCTTTCTGCAAACAACTTATCAGTCATTATGCAGTTCTGTTTTCACTGCATTTTTTGGAATTGCAGATCTGTTATACTTACAAGGATTTCTTTCTGGTCATTTTGTGACTTTGTAGTATAGTCTTTCATTTTATTAAAGTTATGCATATGATACTGTAAACATGCTATGTTAATTGATTATTTCAGGTTTACCTTACCTTAATGATTATTTCCATTGGTTATTATTTTTCATCTTTTGATCCATTAAAGTTTATAGGAGACAAGCTCCTCTTTTGTTTGATTTAAATTAAAGCTCAGGTCGGAGTGACACTGCTGTAACAGGTAAGCATGTAGAAAGAACTGTTGCACCTGGTGGCCTTGGTAGACTTAATGAGGAAGCACACAGTTCTCTAGAACCTTTGCAAGCTCTTTGCCAGTTTTAAGAGAGTTTACAGAGGAAAATCTGAAGGTGAATACATTTAACAGAGTTGTTTTGTTCATGGCAAATTGTCTACACCTATTCTATTTCTTTAAAGGCCTGGGGAGGGTGGACTTCGTTCTGTAAGCCTCACTGAGATTTATCATGCCGCTATTTATACAGAGTTCCTGATCTTTTCTCAAGGGAGCAAATTAGCTTTAGCTTGAGACTGAGGTGACATTGCTTATTGGAAAGCTGGTAAACATTGGAGATCTACTGCCAAGTATCAGCTGTTACACACATCAGAAAGGTATTTTCATGCTTCCAAACACTCCATTTATATTTTGACTAGAGAAAGTTTCTATTGTGCAGTCAGTTTACATTGTGATTTTAAAAGCTGTATGTGGTGGGGGGGGGGGAGAGTAACTTAGCTGGGCACACTGAGGTTCAAACCACATCATTCCTACAGGTAAGTAACCAAAACTTCCCAAGACTATAAAAATGTAAGAGAGGTGATGTCTGAGTGAGCCATACCTGCAGACAGCATTACTAGATCCAAATCTGCTTGATCACACTACCTCATTTAGCTTGACACATCCCAGGTCACCAAGGTACATAAGAATTTCACTATGGCACCTAGTATTTTTAGCAATGATTTTAGTGTCTCTCAGTGAGAAGTACAAAGCTGATCATTTCACATCAGAATATGTTTTATTGTAGGGCATAACATACATATGCTTATATACTAACTTTACATCATCCAATAGTGGTGGATGAATTCATTTCTTAACCAGTTGCTTTATATAATGGCTCCCAAGATTCAGTTAAATGGAACTTTTAAGGCAATAATGGAATTATCAGAAACAGGGAAGAAGTTAGGCTTGTGTTAGGGATTGGATTTTTGTTGTAGTGATAACTAGAACTATCCTTATATTTATATTTCACACTTTTGTCACAGCTTTAATAAAATTACAAGAACCCCTGAAGAGGTTAGGATTAAGTTTTGTACACATAATTAGAAAATACCATAATTAATATACAAAACTGTGAGGACTGACAGACAAGCCTGGCTCCTAAAGCCAAGGAAAATTTGGCAAGGCCTTGTATAGCTTGTTTAAAGTATAAAATCAGGAAAGACAGATGCAGTGGCTTGAGTGCTGGACAGGGCTCAGATCTCAGCTCAACCAGAACCCACTGGATAAACCTCCAGGCAGTCACCATCTGCCAGTTTAATCTACCAGACAGAATTATAAGACAAAGCAAACTACTTCTACATACATTGCCCTAAGTACCTTGGAAGAGAGATGAAGTACAAATTTAACAAAAACAATAAAACTCTACTTTTAGATTGTGAAGTAGCTGAAGTGATGCCATTTCATTAGGGTGTAATGCCAGTATTTCTGCATCTAGGGATGCAGCTGCCATTTTTTCCTTTAATGACTCTCCTGCAGTATATTAACTATTACTTCACAAGAGTGATAAAGCAAAAAGATTTTTTGCAGTCACATATTCACACAGCCTTATGTTCATGCAGCACATCTGATTTCATTCTGTTGCTCTTAGATTGTCCTTTCACACATCTAAGTGGAGAAGGGAGGAGAAATTAGTGGAGGATGTATGACTTGCACCCTTTACTTTCTGCTATTGTGGCAGAAATTCCATGGCTATGGCTCTGCATTGTATCATAGTGTCTAACAGGGAATTGGGGTAGTTTCTGCAAGATTTTGATCTGCGCTAACAGACAAGCACAGCTTGGAACATTGCAGGGAAGCACAATTTTGGTACAGTCATGTGAGAAAGTGAACCCAAAATAAAAACCTTCCCAAACTGAAACCACTTTTATTGCTACTGAGAATCCATTGTAAGAATATTAACTTAATAGGAAAAATCCATGAGCATCTTCAAAAGGCAAAAAACTAGACAGTTTACTTTGATGGAGGAATCTCCATTTTAAACGTTAATTTCTCATATGGTTTTTTCACATTTTTTGTGTTAGGTAAGAGAAAATCACTGGCAAAGGTGGCTGATGACAAAATCTGTTGAATGATTCTCCCTGTGATCCTTGAGTGGGTTTCTTTAAGCAAGAAATCAATGCAAAGTAGTAACAGTAACTTGACATTAGAGCCAATGTGCTAAATGTGACAATTTAAAAACAAGCTCTGTACATGTTGCCTATGCAGGGAAAGGTAACGGGAGCCATCAGATAGTCATTAAAGAAAGGAAGCAATTTTGGTGCAGTGGCAATTTTAACCAGAGCTCAGTTGATTTATGAAGGAAAATTATACATGCTTTTAAGTTAGGGAAGTCTCATTTTAGACAGATTTTTGAAAGGTGTTGGAACTGGTTTTATTTGGTATTATAGATTGTATTAACTATTCTGTTCAAGTTTTGACAGATGGTTCTTTTTAATTACAGAATACCACTATGAGCAAACATTCTAGGAGTGTGTGTCCATGCGTTACAGGAGGAAACACTAATACCCTTGTATGATGGAGTCTCAAACATCTTTTCTGCTTATTTTAGAACGAAAAATTGTTGGGCTACTCAAGTCAAGGCCACAAAGAATAGTGTTTCAAAATACCAGGGTTGGATCCTGTTCAGTACAAGTACTTACAAAACTCTCCACCACTCTTTTCCCATTGCAGCCTGCCATACCTTCTCTGAAATCATATCACAAGGAGAGCCAAGTGAGAATGTACACCAGAACTAATTGGCAAAAAAAGTTTCTTCAGTTGGCAGAAGTGCCTTCTGCAATCAGAAAACAGGATATTATCCACATACCTGTTCTAAACATTAACCCAGAACATGCCAACAGTCTGATCCTGAAGCTCTAATTATATCACCTTATAATCCTGGATAATGGTATTGGCAGTGTCAACTACAATATTAAATCAATCCTTGTCTTATACCTGTTTGTTCTGAACACTGGCAACATTGAAGACATCCTAGGTAGACAGTTTAGAATTTTAGTCATGTGACCTTTAAAAAGCTACAGCTGACAAGAGGATATTACTATGTGGTTTCCCCCCTCCCCACCTTATGATTTATATTTCTGAACTGGTTAAGGCTACCTACTGTATGGTATGTAGCTGACCTTGGCAAATGTCGCTTAAGTGGCCCCCCCTTTTCTTCCTGATACTGCTACAGGAAGATACGCTTCCAAGAGGCTAATATGTAATTCGTCCTGACAGAACTCTTGCTTACTTTACAACTCTTAATAGCTCAGGAAGTCATAGGTTTGCCACAATGCCAAAATCTGCCATTGGGGAATGTGGATATGTCCATTCTGTAAAATCTAAGTCCTGGTAGCTTGGTTCCAAGAAACAGAGTAAGTGTATAAAAAGGTTAACATTTATGGTCTCTGCATGTTTGATTCCCCACTCCTCCACACACATCTGCTGGATGACCTTGGGCAAGCCATAGCTCTGTCAGAGGTGTTCTTGAAAAGAGCAGTTGCTGTCAGAGCTCTCTCAGCCCCACCTACCTCACAGGGTGTCTGTTGTGGAGAGGGGAAGGGAAAGGAGTTTGTAAGCTGTTCTGAGACCCCAGGTGAAGGGCAGGGTATAAATCCAATCTCTTCTTCTTCAGAGGTTGTACAATCTCAATCCTGAACTACAGGATTGTACAATCTCAATCCTGAACTCAATTTTTGAATGACAGGTTAAATGTTTATGCTGGTGGTGGATGATGCATTAAAATACTGCCTCATATTACTTTCAATACTTCCTTAGACTGTGGTTTGTGCTTTTACTAACAAATTTCATCCAGTCCAAATGGATCACATCAGCCCTGTACTTGGCAAAAATTGCCCAATAAGTATAGCCACTCAGAGGCAAAAATATGTCTCAGCATAAATTGCTCACTGAAAAAAAAAAACAACTGAAAAAATTATCTTCTGTTTTAAACATATTCACTACAGTTGCCCTATGAGAATAATGTTTACAGTCATAAGTTGCACATAAAGGGTTTATTTTAAATGTTTTAAGGATAGAGTTACATCATAATTATAAAAATTACTTACAGAATTAAGTAACAGATTTAAAGTGTTTATACTTCTAAATGCAGAGAACAGGGAACTGTCTACATTGTTAAAAATAAAAAATGAAACCAAGCTCTAGAGATGAATTTATCTAATTTTAAAATGTGAACACGAAGACCTTTGAACTATACACATACCAAGAACCATCCAAATTGCACTAATGATGTAAAATAAAAAAGCAGCATTTCCAAGGAACCACAAATGAATTGTTTTTTCAGGTTCTCTGAAATGTTTGCAATTAGTGTGTATTTGGAGAAGCCTTTATTTATAAAATGTATCAATTTAAGAAGGCTAAAGAGCCAGCACAAATGCTTATCCCATTATTGTTTGGGGGGGATTCTAATAGGAGTCTACTTCAACTTATTTTATAGTATTTGGCACAAAAAAAACATTTAATTAAACTGACTTTATTTTTATTTTGAGCAAAGTACATGGTCCCTTCAAATGCTGCATGACATATACACCTGGAAAGTTACCTCCTGTTGGCACTATGTTTGCCTCACCAGTGCATTTAATTCTACTAACCACCATTAAAAAACAGCACAATAAGCAAATTCACAAAAAACACAAAATAAAAAACTAAAAACCTAAACATTTTTAACATGCAACTTTAAAGTTTGTTACACTGAACATTCTACCTTCTAAGCATGCAAAAAAGGATGGTCTGCATTTAAGTTTTTCTTAAAATTTTACAGGGCAGCCTGACATCACGCAAAACACACAATATACAATACTACAGCAGGTAAATTGAGAGAAAGGCCAGTAACTTTTTTATACACAGATCCATAGCTTGTGCCGCCACAAGCCCCGTGATAACTTGGAAAATCATGTTGAGCCCCTAGAACAGGGAACCAACATTTAGTTACCAGGGTAACAAGCACTGCATGCAGATCTGAAACATGAGCCTAAAACAAAGCCCAAAGCAGATGGGCAGGGAGTAGAATTAGTCTCAAGCCTCAAAAAAGGTGGTCTAAGCTATTAAAAAAGCGGACAATGTGGACACTTAAAAAACCATAAAATTTATACAGAATATAGATTATACTCTAAACTGGCAGAATGTGGTGTATCCCAGTGACTTGCAGAAAATCCTCAAATGCAAGCCCTTTGAATAACATTTTCGGTCTACTTAATCCTCAGCAAATATCTCAAGACATACCTTGGATTTAGTGTTTATGTAGCCCACAATTCATGTGTATGTTTCAATACACTCACTCATTCTTGTGCCACAAATATCAACTTGGGCTCATGGAGCCAGGCTCAGTTTTGAGATTTACATGCAGGACTCTAAAGAGTCAATAGAAAACGTACAGATCTGCAGGATGAAAAAAAAATTAAAAACACACAGGGTTGCAAATCTGCTCACTTTGTTCAATAACACAAAAACATTTATGTTTAGGGCTTAAGGACTGCATTGAGAAGCTCTTCATGAAAAAAGACAATAGTCTGCCTTTGGTTGCCCATGATGAAATACTGGACAGAATGCAACAGTAGCAATGGACAACAGATTTTAAGATACTGTATTTGGGTGATGTATATTTGTTACCATTAAAGAGCAAGAGGCACAAGCCTTAAGGCTAAAATATGAAGACAGGTAAAAAAAGAAATGAGGGCTTAAGCCACACTGAGTTTTCAATATGCATACCCACACTAGAGGTAATTTGGACCTCTGAAAGCTAATCAGCAATGCTCTTCTTACCCTTCCTAAGAAAACCTGTATATACACAAGCAGTGGTGATGGTTTCATATATACTTCTGTACACAGTTCTTACTACTGCAATGTCCTGCCTCAAGGTAACTTGACAACTTTGTTACTGCTCTGATATCTTTCCAATGATTACTTATAAAACCACCACATCTACCACCTTGCAAAATGAAAAAAAAAAGTATTGTGGTTGTGGGCGGCTTATTTACATAAACAATCTGGCTGCAGATGACTGAACCATGGAGACTGCTTAGCTTGTGTTAGATAGTACACCATTAGCATGCAGAACTCTAGAGTTTCTTTTTTTAAATGAAGTTCACATTAACAGCATACCTCGAGAAATACAATGTATACCACAAAAGGTGACAACGTGTTTGAGCTGTGGAAAGTCTTGCCTGGATGCACCCCAAGAAAAAGGCCAGAAAAAAGGTGCCTTCAACTAAGAGCAGTAAAACGAGAAGGAATGCAGCAGATCAAGTAGAAGGCAACAAAATGATTTTCCTTCTCAGCAACACAAGATCTCTTTAATACAAAAGGACTTCACGTTCATGAGATCTGTCTTTACATGTCACACATTTTAAGTCCACGCACAGAAATCTAAGTTGCTAGTTCTGATATTGAGACACCCAGTAGCTGCTGTATTCTTTAATGTTAACCAGACTGCTATGGCACGAAGCACCTGGGTTCTGCTAAAAATTACAAAAAATCTCTATATTTAGAACTGAAGGCATCCTTGTTGTAAATATTTTGACTGGTTCCTACAATTTGCATTATCTCAAAAACCTGCGATTTTTGAAACTATCCATTATATGTATCATGGTCTCCTTTCCTCAACTAAAATGTATAAGACTCTCATGTAATAGTAGCTCAACAGTTAAGCTGATCACAGTACACTGATGTTAATTAGGTCAGGCACTCCTTAACACTGCTTAAAACATTTTATAGTCATCATTGCCCAACCCCCAGAAAGAAGGACTGCTAGACAAGAAAATTTAATGTTACATAAGGAACATAATATCAAGCTACACTTGCATGTGGCAGTTGAACAGTTAAGTGAGAAGCTGAGAGAAAGTTACAGTTAAAAAAAAATCAAAAATCATAGTAATGATTACATTGCTAGAGCCACTTTTTACACAGCTTGAATCTGCAGCTGCTGTTTTCTCTAACTTCATTCACATACCCCCTTCAGAAGGCTTCCTTCAAGAAAAGGAGTTCCCTTACACAAAACTGTATCATGTTCACATAAGTCTATTTGTAAAGTTCACAATGGAATAGTTTTCCTTGCAAGATTGTGGGCTCGCAGGGACATTTAAGCTTTCAAAGAAACTGGAAAGCAGTTAAGTCTTTGTGTCTACAAATTTTACACTGAAGTTCCACAAGTTTGGCAAAGTTTGCATGGTGGTGTCTAGGATGTCTTCACCAAATCATAGACATAAATATGGAAATCATCATCAAATTTGATGAAATAGACAGAAGGTTTGGCTTCAACTTGATGAATGACCATGCCAGTTCTTTTTGAGCCATCTTCTTTGGCATATTCCACTTGTTTCCCCACTAGGCTGTCCACAACTTCACCTGGTTCCCGTTCTGCTGGAGGTGAATCATCTGAAAGAACAAGATTCAGTTGTTAAAAAAAATTATAGAACAGGCCACAACCACCTACCCCCAGCTGACCAGTAATCCTTTGTAAATCACAAGCAAGAGTCAATGGTATCACTTCAAAATTAAGCAGGATCTAGCATGTTACTAGTTCACAAAGCTATCCCCCAAGTTTTGCAGTATATATTCACTAAGACACAAAATAACAGATTCTGCTTAAAATCTTGCCTGGAATGTCAGCCAATGCTGCTAATACTTCTGTTCACAACCTGTTTACTATTTTACTCTTTGGGTGAGAAAAATCCATCCTCATTAGATTTCCAGCCACCACCACAAACACTCTCAAGTGCACTATTTCCCCATCCCATCCCATCCCTGAGGGTCATCTGATCCTCCCAAGGTGCACTAAAGGGAGAGACGGCAAAAATCTATTCACTACACTGTGCTCAATGTTCTGTGAATCAAAGCCACTGAACTGGGAGTGCATTAGGTCAGTTGTCCAAAGTTCTGCTTTTGAAACCTAGGAATTTCATTTTGTTTACAGAAATGTCAACATTGTATTCAAATTAGGTACTTTTAGGGAGCATTTTGTGTTCAGTTTCATACATAAGGTATACGAACTAATGCAGCATTCATAATTTCGGATTTGAGTATGCTAATGTTGAAATTTCTGTACATGTTCACTGACCCATTGAAATGCAAGCATTTGAAGAGACTTGATTACATATCAATGCAAGTCAACTTACTGGAATCAGGCATAATGCGGAGGTCTCCTTCTTTATAATCATCTAAGAGCTGGTACATGTACAAGACAGGATCCTTCTCATAGGTAATATAAAACCATGTGTTCATTATTGGTGCTCGAGCCAACACCATTCCCCTCCATTCATCTTTTGAGCCATCTTCTGTCTCAAACATATGTTCCACTGCTTTGCCAATCATTGTGTCTGCCAAGTGGGCATCACTGATTCGAGATGAAGCTGAAAAAAATACCCATCAATATTTGATCAGAATAAAAACTAAATTCCAGAAATTCTGAACTGTAATTCTTAAGTTTATCCAAATGCCTGTGTTCACCCATGGTTATATCCTCAATCATTCCTATCTGTAAATGCGTACTACTTTTTGTATGAAGGGTCTAAGGACCACAACAATAAACTGACTGACTGAATCATTCCCATCAAATTCAAGTCAGAAAGTTATATAAGGGGGGGGGGCGTGGTGGCTGAGCTTCCAGCTGGTTGCATCCCTCCCACGCTCCTGCCATTCCCTCTGAAAATATCAAAATTGCTCTCAAAGAACAAAACCAACTAAGAAACAAACTTTATTGCTGGCTATGGGAAGGACTAGGGGGAAGAAGGGAGCAAAAAATCCCCCCTACAGACCCCCAAAGAAAACGAATATAGACTTTGAAGACTCAGAAGACGACCAAGAGATATCTCTGCCGGAAGAAATGGCGACAGGAGGAAGGAACTCCAACCCAGGTTATCAGTCTATGATTCTGCATGCCTTGACAGAGATAAAAGATGAAATTAAAAATGAGATAAAGACTCTGAATGGGGATGCTGGGCAATTAAAACAAGAATTTGCCCTGCTTAAACGAACAATTGAGGCTATAAATAAAAAACTTGATGAACTCACCACAACATTGCAGATTACGGAGAGGAAAGCTGAAGCAGCATTCTAGAGTGTGAAGAAAGCAGCAAACGAATTGAAAGAGGTAAAAGACTTTGAAGCATGGGCAAAAAAATATATATCAAATTATGCTCCAAGAAATTAAATTGAGAGAAAGGAAGGTCAAGCTTCGTGGGGCCTCTTTAAACTTTGCTGAAACAGAACACCTTTCTGCATCTTTAAATAAATGGCTGCAACAGATACTTCAATCAGCAGGGGAAACAGAGATCTCCGAAAGAATCATCACATCTGCCTTCCATTTGAACATCTCCAAAAAAGCCCCTCCAGATGTCGCTCCAGATATTCTAATCGAGTTTACAGAGGTACAGACCAAAAACAAACTCTAAAATTGCGAGTGAAAAAGAGGGCCTGCGCCTTGATGACACGATTGTTTCTTTGTTTGCTGACATCCCAGCTGAGATTCTTATCGCAAGAAGGAAGCTGCAAGACACAGCCAAGGCTCTCAGAGAACATAGAATTCAATACAAATGGCTTGCACTAGGCCACTTAGTGGTCAACTTAAACGGCAAAACTTTCATAGCTTGAGAGCACTGGAAAGAAGCTACTAGAGCGACTAAGCAACCAGACGGAGCCGTTTAAAAGGAGACAGTTTGTTTTGGCAAATAGTTTAATAGTCCATGTTGAGAGCAATTAAATAAATAAATAAATAGGGTATTTAGAATTATATTATAAGCAGTAAATATTTAATGAAAGTACATATATAAGCAGTAGTGTTATATCCAGAGAGCATGGCAAAGAGGTGGAGGGTGTACTCCCCCCAAGACCTCTGGTAACAGGGAGGAGGGTTATCCTCCTTCTGAAGGGGTTTCCTCTTTGGCCCCCAGTATCAGAGACAACCCCATCCAGCTTTCTTTTTTAGGTATAGAAGTAGATAGAATAACAATAAAGACTGAATGAACAGAAAAGAAGAATGAGTAATAATCTATTAGAAGATTCAAAAGATGTATTAAGAGATAAATCGTGATTTAGAGGTAGTTGTATGGTGGTTTTATATGTGGGTACGATAAGGGAATAGGAAAAGAAGAGATTACAAACTGATTGGGATTAAGTTTGTTAGTTATATAGTTTGGAATGTAACCTCATTTTTGCTTTTTTTTCTTGTGTAATGCATGAAAAGGAGTATAATGTATAAGGATATTAATCATTTTTATGAAATATGAATAATATACTCAATAAAAAGTTATATAAAAGGAAGTTCTTATGCACTGAAGGAGCCTATATTTTTATGATGTCTATAACCAAAAGGATCTGACCAAATGTCACTTAATTCCAAAAGATCAACACTGTTCAAGACTAATGCACAGTATTTTCTAAAACCTTTTAACAATAAAGATACTATAGTCTGTTTCTTAGGTATACACAAGCTTCTCTCTCCACTAATTTATCAGCTGTATTAAAACCTAGATTGATAACAAGAAGCAGAGCCTTCTCTTTGGTGGTACCTACACTGTGCAATTCTCTTCCCAAAGGATCCATCAGGCTAACTTCATAAAAATTCTTTGTTTTGCTGGGTACTTGGAAGATAGGCCCTGCTGCTAGTATGTGTCTGTATCTTCCCTGAAGTCTGCCATAGAGAGTTTTAAAATGTTTTTTAATCTTATGTGTTAAATATAGTTTATAACATGCTATCAACTGCCTCAAGAATTCTGGAGCCATGTTTGCTGAATGTTAAAATAAATTCACAGATTAAAGTAATTAACTTCCATATTTCATACTGCAGGTAACTACTCCCATTCTAGTTTTCTGAAGTCTAGTGATACAAACCAAATCTGATGCTTAACACAACGTATACAGCCTATTTTTATTAATATATACCCCATCTTTCTTCCCAGTGGGGATCCAAAGTGGCTTATATCACTGTCTTCTTCATTTTATCTTTGCAACAACAATGCAGAGTAGGTGTGTGATGGGTCCAAACTCATCCAGCAAGCTTCCATGGCAGAATGGGGATTTGAACCTGGGTTTTCCAGATACTAGACCCCCAAACCACAGCCTATATCAAGACACTTACCAACTCTGTCTGGAAGAACTTCAAGTGCCGAAACTCTCTCATCTTTGTGCAGCTCTAGTCCATAGACACAATCAAATCCATCATATTTAATAAGGTAGAGGGAGGGATTTACAGGAACCTGATCTAGAACCGTGCCTTTCCACTGAGTCACAGGTCCACTCCCTTCTTTCCATCCATGCTGTATTCTGCAGCCTACAATATTTCTTCTGGGTTGAGAAATGGGTTTGTTTGGTCCCATGTTGTTTCGATGCTTCCTGTATTTATATATAAAGCAATATACTTTAAACACAGCATTAAACTACTCTAATATATGCTCTACAATGGAACACCTCAAAACTAGGGAGGTCTTCTCATTATATTAGCTCATACTGTCAATATACATGCTTTTTGAGTGAGATGTCCTCACAAATAGTTACAAATATGAAAAATGGGGACATCCTGGCATATATTATGGCTTTCCAGAAAGGACACAGGACCCCTAGAAAAGCATCAGGTTTTGAGGCATCTCTAGAAATGTTTCTGTTTTAACTGAAACTGTGGCCTGGTCCAGGATTCTAGTTAGAATGACACTCTGCCCAGAATATATACAGGCCTCTATTAGCATATCCTGATTTGGAGTGTCTACTTTAATCACTAGTCAGATAAACCTCACACAAAAGCTGCAAAGCACTGCTTTTAAAAAGTAGGAAGTAACTTACTTGTGGGAGGCTCTCTTCTTCATCATGCTGGCAGACACACCTGCATGCCCTACAAGGAAGATGTCAACAGTTATTAAGCCACCAAGGTTAGATTTACGTAGGTTTCAAATATACATAAATGGCTTAAGTTCACTTTTCAGAGCTGAATTTCAAATTGTTCCTGTGACACAAATCCTGTTTCAGAATACATTTTTGATATACTGGGTATCTATAAAGTAAATTATCTCCAGGACTGCCACTGAGCACACCAGTTAGTTGCATTCCAGGAAGCTACAAACGTGTCTTGGACAACTGTGTTACAGTTACTGGCCCTTCAAACCCACTACAGCTTCCACCTACTTAAGGACCAGCTATCAGGCAAGCTATCAGCTAAGCTAAACTGTCCTGATACAGTTCCATTTACTTAAATGAACAAGATCTTGGGGTATGGACTGTAAGTTAACTATGAGCATCCAGTGTGATGCAGTGACAAAAAAGGCTAATGTGATCTTGGGGTGTATCAACAGAGGCATAACATCCAAATCACAAGATGTCATAGTTGCGCTGTACACTGCATTGGTTAGGCCATACCTGGAGTATTATGTGCAGTTCTGGAGGCCTCACTTCAAAAAGGATGTGGACAGAATGGAGCATAGCAGAGGAGAGTGACGAGGATGAATCAGGGGCCTGGAGACTAAGCCCTATGAGGAAAGGTTGAGGGACTTGGGAATGCTTAGTCTGGAGAAGAGGAGGTTGAGGGGGGATATGATTGCTCTCTTTAAGTATATGAAGGGCTGTCACTTAGAGGAGGGCAGGGAGCTGTTCCTGTTGGCAGCAGAGGATAAGACTCACAATAATGGGTTTAAATCAAGGGCAGGAACGTACCAGCTGAATATTAGGAAAAACATTTTTTTACAGTAGGAGTTGTGCAACAGTGGAATCAGCTGCCTAGGGAGGTGGTGAGCTCCCCCTCCCTGGCAGTCTTTAAGCAGTATCTGGACAAACACTTGTCAGGGATGCTCTAGGCTGATCCTGCATTGGGCGGGGGGCGGGTTGGACTAGATGGCCTGTACGGCCCCTTCCAACCCTGTGATTCTATGATTCTAACACTCTGGAAAGGCCAGCTTCAAGACTAAATTTTCCCACTGGCTGACCCACATCTGGAAATTCTCAGGAATCTCCAACATGGTGCCTGTGGGTAGCGTGGCACCCACCCAACATGCTTCCTGGCACGTTCTTCTTTCTTCTTCAAAGCAGAGAGCCAACTCCAGCTTTCTTTTCACTTCAATAAAGCAGGCAGTGCCTCAGAAAGGCCAGGAAGTACTGTCTTAGAAACAGTTGTCTCCAGCACAGGACGATTTGATTGGAACTTCCCATCATTTTTATTGTCCTTACTCCCAAGGCAGTTACTGTGGCAGAGCCCACAACTATTTTTAAAAATTCCAGAGGTGTTTAGAGGCTCAACAAGATTAGGGAATCCAGGAAACATTTTAATATTCAGAATACAATACTGTATACACTAATTTAAAACTTAACTATGTTTTCATGCTGGCCTAGCAAACCTCTATCAATGTAGTGCTTTAATTAACAGTAACAAAGAAGTCTTCTACATGCTTTTATTAAAACCACTTCCACATGCCTAGATGCATGAATAATGGCAGAGATTGAGCACAGTGAATTTTGGATAAAGATCCTGCAGCCAGAGGGTTGAGATCAACAGACCTGCACTCACCAGCATTTGTCTGCCTTGGGCAAGAAACAGTCTTCAAGGACTGGTGACAGTGAACTACCTCTACGATAATAATGAGAGGCGTAAGATTTAGGCCTGGTACACAGATGCGACAGCAGAGGAATAAGATGGTAGAACAAACTGCACCACTTCAAACTGCAGATGGAAGGTTGCATTTTAGAATCCTCCTCAAGATTAAAATTCCTTGCAAACAAAAACTAGCACAGCAAGCAGAGAAATGGGACATACTTGCACTGAGTTTTATTTATTTATATAATCTATAGTCCACCTTTCTCATTTGGATTTAAGGTGGATTACATAGAGTGAGTCAATACAATCAATGGATGGGGCATTCAATAAACAATACAATAGGATTAGGGTTGTAGAACGGATCAGAAGTCTAAAAACAGAACTGAAGCAAAGTTTAAGTATTAATATGACACATTAAACAATGCAGAATTTCATAGCAGGATTGTATTTTCAACAAGTTATACACAGTAATATAGACAACAGTACCTAATAATTTTTCTAATTAACTCTGTGAATCATTTAGTACAGCACAAGTCTATTGTCCATGTAGAAAAGCCTTCTTGAATTATTCAGGCTTGCATAGTTTGTGGAAAGCCAGGAGCATGGGAACCTTCCTGACCTCTCCAGGCAGGTCATTCCACAAGGTGGGAGCCACAACGGAGAAGGCACATGTATGGGCATTGATTTTGCCCATTTGCTTGCATCAAGTTGCTGCAGAAGGCCCTGTTCAGTTGAATGATGCTGTCATGGCAGAGCATAGAGGGCGAGGAAGTCTCATGCATATGAGCATCCAAGGCCTGAAGGGTTGTGTGTGTGATAGCTAATACCTTAAAATGAACCCAGTAACTGATGGGCAGCTAGTGAAGTGCCTACAGGATGGGAGTAATATGCTTGCTCCAGGTAGCTCTTGATAATAGCTAAGCTATTGCACTCTGCACCAGATGAAGTTTTTGAATTAATTTTGAGGGGAGACCAATGTACAATGCATTGCAGTAGTCTAGTCTCGATGTCACTGTGGCATGGTGTAATGCTCCCTGGGGGCATTCATACCTGAAGTTCATGGAGTCTTGAGATCATGAACCCAGTCCATGTTTTTTTATGCAATCTTGCTTTATTTATCAATCCAGATCCCTGACAGAAAAACTGAACTTACCTGAAGGTTTCTTCTCTTCAGTGGGGTGAAGACATCCAAGCTGGTTAGGTCACACCTCCACTCGCTCCAGGCAGGGCTATGCAAATTTTTGACTTGGACAGAGTGAGGGTCTCTTTCCAAACATACAATAGCCCAGCTTAACTTCAAAAAACTTACTTGAAACACCGAAGAAAGGTTAAAAAAAATCCTTTACTTGAAAGAATCTCTTCTTTTTTTTGTAAACGAGAACCATGGAAACACATAAAGAAAAAAACTGAATGGTCACATCTGTAAGAGCATATCCCCATATATATGAACTCCCAATAATAACAAAAAAAAATCACCTTAAATGGGCGGGAGAATTGGATGCCTTCACCCCACTGAAGAGAAGAAACCTTCAGGTAAGTCCAATGTTTCTTTCTCCTTTGGTGGGGAAAGGCAACCAAGCTGGTTATGTAACCAAGCTGAGTTTGGGTGGGAGAAAATTAACACTACAGATCTAACACTCATTGGAGAACCCATCTCCCAAAAGCAGCTTTAATGGAATTTTGCTGGTCTATCCTATAATGTCTGACAAAAGTATTACAGGACGATCAAGTTGCTGCCTTGCAAATTTCTTCAATAGGGGCCCTGGTTGAAAAGGCCGCTGATGCAGCAGCTGCCTTTGTAGAATGAGCAGTGAACCCAATTGGAATCCTCATACCTTGCACTTCATAGGCCCTATGAATACACATTCAAATCCACTATCCCAAGGTAAACTGACACCTTCTTCCCCAAATTTGAGGCCTGTGTGACACCAAGAGGGAGTCATCAGCTGAATGGGAGCTGTCCTCCAAATGTAGATACAGAGGATCCTCCTGACATCTAATGTATGTAATGCCTTTTCTTATTGTGAACAGCTTTGGGCAAAAAGAGGGTAACACAATGTGCAAGTTCATCTTTGGGATGAAGGAAGGATCAGTCCTGAGAACCAGAGTTTTTTTGAAAAGTACACAGGTCCCTTCTAATAGACAGTGGTCCAATTTCTGATATTCTCCTGGCTGATGTTACAGCCACTAGGAAAACTACCTTCCATGATAGGTGTTTAAGATCAATGGAAGGCAGTGGCTCAAAAGGCGGCTTTGTCAACGACTGTAGAACCTTAGGCAGGTTCCAGACAGGAAACCTGTGTTGCACTGGGGGTGCCAATTGTCTGGTAGCCTTCAAGTACCTCTGAATGTACTTCTCCCTGGCTATGTTGCCCATACCACTGTTGTTTAGAACTGCAGCTATGGCTGCCACGTCTCTTTAATGTGTTAGGGCACAACCCTTTTTTCCAACCCTTATGTAAAAACCTGATAATATCTTGCCTAGAAAGATTTTGCAAGTTCGTTCAAGTGCCCACTTTTGGAAGGCCGCCCAAGTATATATGCCTCATAGCAGGGCATCTCGCCTGGAACATAATGTCAGCTATGTTGGTAGGCAGTCCCTGAGAGTACTAAGTCCCTCCTTTCAGCCTCCATGCCATCAGTTTCAGCCAAGCAGCATCTGGGTGAAATACTGGACCTGTCTCAACAGATTCTGCCTGACTGGTAGCCTCCAAGACTCCGCTTTTGATAGCTGTATCAGTTCTGAAAACCATGATCTCTGTGGCCAAAAGGGGGCCAGAAGAATGATGTCTGCCTTTTCCATCCGCTCCCTCTCCAGCACCCTGTCAAGGACAGGGAGTGGAGGAAAGGCATATAGTAGATCCATGGGCCATGGATGGTAAAGAGCATCCAACCCTTCTGCCTCTGTCTCATGAAATCTCAATAGAAACTTTGGTAGTTTCCAGTTCTGAGCAGATGTGAAGAGGTCCATCACTGGAGTCCCAAAATGTCTTGTCACTTCCAAGAACACTTGATTGTGTAGAGACCATTCTGCTTGGTCCACATCCTTCTGTTTAACCAGTCTGCTTGCACGTTCAAGATACCTTTGACATGCTGTGCTCTCAGTCCACTCAGGTGTTCCTCTGCCCACCTGAGAATCTGCATGGATTCTAGATGTAGAGGCAGTGCCTTTGTTCCCCCTTGTCGGTTTATATGCGCCTTGGCTGTGATGTTGTCTGTATGAACCATGACAAACTTGTTCTATATCAGATCCTAAATGGCGAAAAGGGGACTCACTTGGAGTTCCAACCAGTTAATAGAGTTCTCTCTTT